ATTACAGAATGCTCTCTCCTCTGTTTGTAAACCTTGATTAGAAGTTGGAGCTATAGTTGTTTAGCTTTTATGGTTTTAGGGTAGTTGCAGGTGGCAAACTATATTTTATCCTAATCTAAATTAAGAAGTTCCCACTGGGGTAACACTTTAGATTAGAGAATTGATTTGTAATTTATGGAGGATTTGTTCTAGATCTTATTGCCAAAACATGGCGGGCTGGATTGGGAGAAAGTTTATAATAAGTTCTCATTGGGGAACTTTTTTAGATTAGGGTTAATTTTTTTTATATGTATGTATGGCTGACCCCAACTTGTTTGGTATTGGGGCGTAGTTGTTGTAGGAGTTTTCACGGGTCTAGTTACTAAACTTGGCCTGAATTATAAGACGAGTGTCAGCCTAATTTTAGCTATAAATTGAAAAAAGAGCATGTGTCATGTGATTCTGAGCCGGCTTTAAATTATCTTCTCCAATTTGTGTGGAGGGTGAATGTCCGGAGTTAAGGAACCGAAAAATAGGTCATGGAATGTGATGGCATGCAATGAGAAGCTTAGGGTGTCCATATAAACATCACAGGTGTCATTTCTATGTGATGATACTACTACAAAGAAACCAGATTGTTCCTGTAAGATTGCCCTCCCAAATACACTAAGATAACGGAAATGAAAACAAAACTTGCTATATTCACTGGAGCAGGGTGAAAAGAAATAATTGCAAAAGATAATCCGCTGGAACAGAGAAAAAAGCTCAACAGTTACCCAAGACATGCCTCGCTAGACTATTGTAGAATAGGGTGAAGCCCCAGGCATACAAATGGAAATATAACTGCAAGTTTTAGAGAGTAGAGAGCTGGTGTTATAGGCTTGTTTTGCCCGATATCTTCAATTCTGGAACGGGTGTGATGCATTACTTGGATACAACTGTTACTGACAGATTTCTATATATTGAAAAAGACAAAAACTGTTGTAGTCAGAGTTTGTGCCTCATCTGTTTTATGTACTTTTGCCAGCTTAAGTGTTGTGCTAGCTTGCTCTCCTTTCCTCTGCAGTTCCCTTGGAAATGATTTCTGCTAGTGATTAATTCACAATCTGAAATTTTCTCCTTTTTGCTGCTGCCAGGATTCCCCTTCCTCAGTGGGTTTGTGAAGATATGGATAAAGATCCAGATTTAGCATATTCAGACAGGTTCGGGCGACGAAATATGGAATACATATCCCTAGGGTGTGATGTTCTTCCCGTTTTGCACGGACGATCTCCAATCCAAGCATATGCTGAATTTATGAGGAGCTTCCGTGACACCTTCAGACCATTTCTTGGTGGTGTCATAACTGTATGATGCTCACTTAATACTTCACCTACTAATTTTTAATGGTATTATACCTATGCAATTTGACTTTATGTTGCAGGGGATCCAAGTTGGAATGGGTCCTGCTGGTGAGTTAAGATATCCTTCATGCCCTTTACAGAAGCTGAGCTGGACATGGCGCTCACGTGAACTTGGCGAATTCCAATGCTATGACAAGGTGTGAAAAGACTGACGTTATGTATCTCCAGTGATTTTTTCCTGTCATTCTTATCCAACCAAATTTGTGATTGTCTTCTTTTAAACTGGCAGTACATGCTTGCATCTTTAAATGCTTGTGCTGGGGAGATAGGGATGCGTGAGTGGGCCAATGGCGGCCCTATTGGTGCCAGTAATTTAATGCAGGATCCTGAAAGCACAGAGTTCTTTAAAAGTGATGGTTCTTGGAACGCACCATATGGGGAGTTCTTCCTTGCATGGTATTCAGGGATGTTGCTGCTTCATGGTGAGAGGATTTGCAGGGAAGCAGAGACCACATTTCGTGGTCTTGAAGTTAATTTGTCAGGCAAAGTGGCTGGGATTCACTGGCATTATGGTACGCGGTCTCACCCTTCAGAGTTAACGGCTGGATACTACAATACATCAATTCGAGATGGTTTCTTGCCAATTGCTCGCATGTTTGGTAGGTATGGTTTTACCATGTGCTGTACATGTTTTGAAATGCGGGATGCAGAAGAGCAGCAGATGAATCCTGTCAGTAGTCCCGAAGGTTTTGTAAAACAACTTTTGCTTGCCGCTAGGATATGTGACATTCCCCTGCAAGGTGAAAACACTGCAAGTAGCTTGGATGACGAATCATATCAACAGGTGTTAAGGATGTCTAAGTTCTACTCGGATGGTCCGGGAACACCTACCTTTTCATTCAATTTTGCCAGGATGGACAAGAACTTGTTTGAATATCGGAATTGGGTTAGCTTTACTCGTTTTGTGAGACAAATGGCAGATGTCAAAATTTTTCGAGCCAAGCTAGGATTTGGGGAAGGTGATATGCCACTTTCATCTTTATCAGCATCCGCCACTGCTGGAGCAGTTCTTGCACACTAGGTCAAACTTCAACCTGTAGGCATTGCTGATGCTAATTGCGTATTCTCACCCTCCACAAGTCAAGGGTGTGTATATGTGTAGCATCTTATGATCTATGATTGTGAATTGCGTAGCAAAAGCTTGGTCTTTTTTGCGTAATTTTTTCTCTCCTTATACTGTAATGGTTCGTGATCAAGTTGAAAAGCAGTATTTCCTTGTATCATAACGGTGCCTTCCTATTATTTTTAGAATGGATGGCCTCTCTATTTCAGCTCAAAAGGTATATCTATTAGTCACGTTCAGTTAGAACAATTGACTCCTTTTAGTATTCTGATATGGTTGGAATTGCTGGGACTTGTGACAAGGATAGTATATGACCAATATAATTAAGTGAAATGAAACACAAATTAAACAAATACAAGAAGGATATGTTATGTACTGACAGGTTAAGTTGACGGTGCCTTCCAAATATTTTGAGATGAATGGCCTCTGTTTCAGCTCAAAGGTCTTATCTGTTTGGCAAGAGAATCCAGTTCAGTTAAAACAATCCACATTCCAGTCCTTTTTACACTTCTAATAGGAGTGGTATTGCTTGGGCTTGTCTGAAGCATTGTGAAATGAAAGACAAATATAAATAGAGTTTACGCGCTGATGACGTAAAGAACTTTTATTTGTCAGTATAATTACTTGTAAGTAATCACTGTTTCATATAAACAGTAACCTGCAAAACTGTTTTAATAAATTTGGTAATGTATATTTTTTTCTTTTATACATTGTCAGTGTTATTGAACAGAGGAGACGAGAGAAATGGTTTCGATCACCTACATTGCTCAGATCCTCTCAAAATGTCAACGCATTCAAGTCAGATCCTTCAAAAAATGCAAGGTGTTTCCCGCCTCCGTCAATTAAGTTGAGTAGTAACGGTAACCATGAATATTTAAAAAATTAAAACAAAAATAAGTCATAATTACACCAATAATCATTGATCATTAACTTAATTTAATATAAATCAAGTTAAATTACATTGTCAACTACAAATATAAGTTAATTTTCTATAAAAAGATGTGCCAATCTGTACCCAAATCCTAAAGTTTTTTTTTCAAGTGTTGCATGAACTGATTACACATGCTGTTACACCAGGAGAGACTCAGCACGCAACAACTGATCAAGACAAATATGGGGAAGAAGGGGAGGATGAATCAACAGTAGAAAACTTTAACACAGTAGCAAGGGAAGCATATTTATCACCCAGAGCTGGAGATATGAGTGGTAAAAAAAGAAGGAAAAATGGCAAACTTAAAGATATTCCTCAGTCAAAAAGAATCCTGCCCAGAAGGGCTGCCTCACAAAATAAATGATGATCAAGACCTTAATTTGGAACATTAGGTCTGTCAAATCTCGGGAGGCCTTCCCTAGGGTGATCAACATGCAAAGGGAGCACAATTTCTATGTGATAGCACTAATGGAGCCTTTTCAAAAACTAGGGCATCTTCAAAGATATAAGAGCATATTGAACATGGAAACAACCTTCCCAAATTTGAATGGGAGGTTATGGTTGTTCTTCAACTCTGTGGTTGAATGGGAGTCGGTTACAGAAACTGCTCAACAAGTGACTGTAAGGGTGTTCCACCATGATATTAGCCAGCACATTATGATGACCTTTGTGTATGCAAAATTCTCCTCTGTGGCGAGACTGGAATTATGGGATAACTTGTATTATTTAGCAAGTGACATGGAATTACCTTGGTTGGTGGGAGGTGACTTTAATGTGATACTACATGAAGATGAAAAGATAGGGGGTCTTTGAGTACATCCACCTGAATATGAGGACTTTGCTTTTTGTGTAAACTCATGTGGTTTGTTTGATCATGATTATAAAGAAAGCCCATTTACATGGTGGAATGGTAGACTTAATTCAGAGTGTATTTTTAAGAGATTGGACAGGATTTTTGTCAATTTACAATTTCAGAACCCGTTTTCAACAACTGAAGTGGAGCACTTAATCAAGACAGGTTCATATCATGCACCATTGATAATGACTTGTGGGGAACAAACCACAAACTTTGTAAAGCCTTTTAGATTCTTGAATTTATGGACAAAACATGCTACATTTATCGAGGTGGTAAGGCAGAACTGGAATGCTGACTTCATTGGAGATCCATTTTTTATGTTCAAACATAAACTGAAGAAGGTAAGAATAGCATTATCTAAATGGAGCAGGGATATCTTTGGAGATATTTTCAAGCAATTGGCAATGCTGGAAGACATTGTGAAGGTTGAAGAGATGTTGTTTGAGGAGGAGCCAATAATTGAGAACAGAATAGTCCTTCAACAAGCTCAGGCAGAATTGAAAAAATACTTAAGTATAGAGGAACAATACTGGAAGCAAAAAATTGGGATGACGTGGTTTGCAAAGGGTGATAAGAACACTACTTTCTTCCACAACCATGTCAATGGCAAAAGAAAGAAACTGCAACTGAAAATGATCCAGAATGGAGATGAAAATTGGTTGGAAGATCAAGAACAAATGGCCAATGCTGCAGTTGAATTCTATAAAAAAACAGTTCACTAATAAAGGGAATCCTATAGATTTTTCCATACTGGAGAATGTACCTACTATGGTGACTGGGGAACAAAACTTGGAGTTGTGTAGATTTCCAACACTAGAGGAATTTAAGGATGCAGTTTTTAAGCTAAGTGGAGATAGTGCCAGTGGTCATGATGGCTTTACTGGACTATTTTATCAAGAGTGCTGGAAAGTAATTGGTTATGACATACATAATATGATTCTGCATTTTTATGGTGGTAAACCTTTGCCAAAGTCTATTACTCATACTAATTTGGTGCTGCTACCAAAGAAACCAAGGGTGCAAACTTTTCCAAACTTAAGACCAATAAGTCTGAGCAACTTTATAAATAAAGTTATGTCTAGAGTTATACATGATAGATTGGAGAGGTTCCTGCCTTCTCTAATATCTCCTAATCAATCTGGTTGTGAAAGGGCGGAGCATATTTGAGAACATACTACTCACTCAAAAAATAGTCACTGATATAAGATTGAGAGGCAAACCTACCAATGTTGTCATTAAGCTGGATATGGCAAAGGCATATGACAGGGTTTCATGAAAATATATGTTACATGTACTAAGAAGAATGAGATTTGCAGAAACCTTTATTAATATGGTCTGGAATTTGGTATCAAACAACTGGTATTCAGTACTGGTGAATGGGCAGTCTTCAGGTTTCTTCAAGTCCACAAGGGGAGTGAAGCAAGGAGATCCTTTATCACCTATTTTATTTATTTTGTCAGCTGAATTACTGTCTAGGTCCTTGAATCAGCTTTTTGAAGACAAGTCATTCATTGGATTTGGTATGCCCAAGTGGTCGGGTCATTTGAACCACTTGGCATATGTTGATGACACAATAATACTTGCCTCAGCTCATCCTACGTCACTGAGTAAGATCATTGGAATACTGGGCAGATATGAACAGATATCGGGACAACTGATCAATAAAGCTAAGAGCTTGTATTACATGCATGCCAATGTTGCACATGATTTGTGCTGGTCAGTAGGTAACATTACAGGTTTTGCTAGAGGACAATTCCCATTCACATATTTAGGGTGTCCAATCTTCTACACTAGAAGGAGAAATGATTACTATGATGATCTTGTAAAGAAAGTAAAGGCTAAATTGCATTCTTGGAAAGGAAAACTTCTCTCTTTTGGTGGAAAGGCAACACTAATTATCAGTGTGTTGCAGAGTATGCCAGTGCACCTACTATCAGTGTTGGATCCACCTAACAACATTCTTGTCCACTTGCATAAAATCTTTGCACGTTTCTTTTGGAGCAACAAACAGGAAGGTAGGAGCAGACATTGGGCTTCCTGGCAGAATCTATGTCTTCCCAAAGATGAAGGTGGTTTAGGGTTTAGGTCTCTCCATGATGTATCAAAAACTTTGTTTGCTAAACTATAGTGGAAGTTTAGAACTACTAAATCTTTATGGACTAACTTCATGTGGAATAAGTACTGCAAAAAAGAAATACCAACAGTGGTGCAATTTAGAAGATGCTCTCATGTTTGGAGACAAATGCTGACTGCTAGGGAAAAAGTGGGACATAAAATATTGTGGGAAATGAAGAGTGAAACCACAAATATATGGCACGAAAATTGGACCGGATTAGGAGCATTATATCATGTGTTACCACAAGATTTTCCAATTAATGAGGAATTACAAGAGGTGGTTGAACTAAGGCAAAAGGGAACATGGAATGAACAGTTGCTTGCTCATAATTTTACAGAAGAAATTGCTGAGCATATTAAGCTAAATGTTCGGTACGGAGGCAGTGAAGAATTATGGGATAAGCCATACTGGATGCCAATGGCTTCTGGTAAGTTCACTGTAGGGAGTGGTTGGCAGATTCAAAGATATAGAGCATATCCTAATAAGGAGTTCAAAAATATGTGGATCAAAGTTTTTCCATTCAAGATATCATTCTTTTTGTGGAGATTATGGAGGCACAAGGTGGCTACTGATGATGTATGGAGAAGGCAAGGCTACATAGTTATGTCCAGATGTTGGTGTTATCTTCAACCCCAGGAGAAAACAATTGAGCACATATTCTTAACTGGCCCTATGGCTAATAAGGTTTGGAGAACAATCTTAGGGGCAGCTGGGATTAATATAGCATTGGTGCATGTAAAATAAGTGATAAGGGCTTGGTGGAATACTAAGTGTTGCCCAAAATTGAAGCCGATGTTTCAGGAAGCGCCAACCACAATTACATGGGAGTTGTAGAAAAGGAGGAACACAAGAATAAATTGAGGAACAACATCAACCAGTAGAGTCATACATGAAGTTAACAAAACTTTACATTACTTGGCAAGGGTGAGGTATCCATGGTTATCAAACATGCCATTGCTTTGACCAGACTTGATAAGCTACCTTGAAGGATATAAACCGACTATTGTTACTTAGGCTATCATATGGCAAGCGCCGTATACAGGATGGTTCAAATGCAATACCGATGGAGCTTCAAAAGGTAACCCTGGTCCTAGTTCACTAGGCTTTTGTGTGAGAAACGAAGAAGGGGATTTGATGTATGCAAGGGCTTTGGATTTGGGGATAACAACTAGTGTTGTAGCTGAGGCTAAGGCTATTGTACAAGGCTTGAAATACTATACGCAACAAGATATTCACCCTCTCATTTTGCAGACTGACGAAGAAGGTTATTGAAGGAGAATGTTATTGGCAAGGTTATTGAAGGAGAATGAGATCCACCATGGAGTGTAGTAGCAGAAGTGCAGAAAATTAAAGAGATGAAGGATCACTTTAATGTGATTTTCCGACATGTATTCAGAGAGGGCAACACAGTAGCAGATTTTATAGCTAACCATGTTTTCTCTTTTGCAGGTACAACTATATTCCATTCCTTTTGTGATCTGCCTAGTACAGGGAGGAGACTGATCAATCTCGGCAAATCACACACTCCTAATCTTAGGGTTAGGATTGCCAAAAGAAGAGCACCAGATTGATGGTGCTCCAATGTTAGCAGGTGGTATTCACGTACAAACTTCCAAAGTAAGGGTAATGTGCATACTTACTTAGATTGGTATATTGGCTACTGCTGGAGTCACAGTCACAAATTATACTACCAGGTGCTTCTTTTCTATACATATAGGTTACTGCTGCCAGGTACAACTTCATACAGTTTGGAGCAATATGTTTATTAATTACATTACCCCATTGCGACAAGAATGTATGAAGGATCAAAGCTGGAAATTAACAGTAATAGAAGGTGTTCTGTTTCAGAGTAGTATGCTTTTTAATGTCATGACAATTTTAAGTGGTATTGACATGTATACATGTCCAAAATGGAGGTGTTATGGCATTGCAAGCATGTGAATTACATTACACAATAACAAGCTTTCAACATAATAGGCTATTGGTTTAGACTTCACTGGATACAAGTATTGTTCATGGAATTAGGAATCTACTTGGATTCTTGGTTGCTTACCGTTGATGGTGTTGCTTGGAGTTCCACTTCGCTAATTGGCTTTCAACAGAGGTTATCAAATTCCATCAAACAACAGGATCAACAATAATATTGGGTTCTACTGCAATAACTTCAGGGCAAAAGATAGGTACAATACAGTTTCATTCGTGCTAGCTGTCCTGTTATTTATGTATTCTATAGTCTGCTAGGACACTTTTCGGTGGTATTAACATGTTATCATGCTCGATAGTGTTCTAATTGGATATGGAGGTGTATATGCAAGCAGGAAGTGATTACTTAACCATAGAAGAATACAATTGGTTCTAAAGTCTAATACTAGGCTAGTACGTGCCATATGCAGTTACCTATTATATTACTCCATATCTATTCTATTATTATTATTTTTCTACTTATTTAGAAGCGGGAGTTGGACTCTTCGTCGCCTTGCTTCCTGATTTACAATTAGGTCCCTTTTTTTGGATCAAAAGTCGGGATATTTTCGTCACTCTGCTCACTTTGTACTTTCTGAAGCGTCTTTTCCCTTCGCACTCTCCTCGATACGCGCCTTTTTCATGGACGTGGAAGACAAACCGGCTCTTGCTTCTGCTGCTGTCAGTTGTTTCTCCAGATGTGTAACACCTGCTTTTGGATGGATATCCGATTAGGGGTGACCGCCAATAATATCTGCAACAGCTTCTGTTCTGCTTGGGTTTTCTTTTCGTTTTTCCGCTTCTTGGCTTACTACTCTCTTCCTTTTGGTCTCTCTGCTTGCTGGCTGGAACAAGTGAGTACTTCTTGCTTCCTTCTCTATCTCCTCCTTTAGATTTCTGTGTGTTCCAACAGACTAAATTGAATTAAATTATTTTTACGACTCTAATTGAAGCTGCACCAGTTTTTTGAACTAAATTATTTTTTCAGTTCTTGTCAGTTTTACTCTGTTCTTGCCTTTTTAACTGAACCATGTTATTTCCCTGAAATTTTGGTGGGTGCCCAGCAGTTTCTCCGTTTGTTCGGATATTTCAGTTCTGAATTTTCGCATTCGTGTCAACCTTTGCACACTGATACATTGTAGCAGGGGCGGCCCAAGAAGATTGGTGGCCTAAAGCCAATTTTTAATTTGAGGCTTTTCAGAAGGAAAAAAATATATCATAACATAGATGATTCATTCCGATGTTCCTACACATAGAACAACACAATTTAGCGCAATTGTTGCATAATAACTCACTTAAACCAACAAAATATAGGACGAGTAATGTGCTAAAAGTATAGAATTTTGGCCTAACATCAGTTGTTAATAGTTTCTATTGTTAATAGTTTCTTTTATAAATAATTTAGTCTCTCCTAAGATATTGTTGATCTTAGATAATAGAACCAAATTCATATAGATATCTCACTAACGATGTCACTCGTAAAATTTAAATAATGAAAAGTTTTATATTCGCGACAAGGGTTTAAGAGGAGTGATTCTCTTTCATTTTTTGCTCAAACGGTTACATCACTACTAAATTAAAAGTTATCTTGAATTTTTATAAAATATTTTATTTTTTATTTTAACATACCCAATATATTTAGACCCCGCCTCTAAAGATTATTGTGAGATGTATTTGATCCAACTGACCTTAATTGAATATATTGGGTTCAAGTCATGTGGTTAAAAAAAATCCTGTTAAAACGTGTTCTCTCTTTTACTAGGTCTTACGCGGTACGAATCTAGATTAGTCGGGGTCTCAATACAAATACGAGTAGAAAAACAAAAAAAAAATTGGGGCCCTCAAAATCTGGGGGCTTAAAGCCTTTGCTTTAGTGGCTTGACCCTTGGGCCGCCCCTGCATTGTAGGTGTTTGTTAATATGTCTTAATCAACAAAATCTTTTGATTTTATGCCTGTGCTGACCTTCTCTCAACGCTTTAATTTTTCCTTTTTTGTTTAAGTGTGCACTTATAGAAATACTCTTAAAGCAGACCATTTCTTCCATCTATATTGTTGTTACTATTTGTCTTACTTTGTATTAGCAAGAAAATTTAGATACAGATATATGTATTTTCAGATTCATACCAACCTAAAAATATTAAATTAAATTATACAAAGCCGTGAAGTGTTTGGAATAGAAATGTGTGGCAACAAAGATACTATGGATTTATTTCTGTATTTTTCAAAAGACTGAGGAATGACAAATTGTCGCTACAAATTTTAGACATCCCACTGCAAACTTTGATTTTACCGCAGGTGATGCAATTAAGGTGTTTGATGATATGCTTGGAAAAACTAAATGATTCTTTTGCTCATTTATGAAAGGAAAATCCATGAAAAGTAGAAGCCATTGTTAAAGGAATATAAACAATTCGAATGGACAATTTACTGTTAATGTCCAGGTTTTATGCAATAATGATTCTGGAATTGGATTGACTTTATTTGAACGTTCTTATAGGATTGCTGATAAATATTTGTTGAATTTTGAAGGCAAATTGACTGATCCTTTCCTTCTCAATAATTTTGCCTTTATTTTCAAGATATCTTCGCCTAAAATTAATCTTATTAAGCCTATTACTTTACTCCTAAAAGCTATATGTTATTGATGTTTTGCAGTAATAGTTCTACCTTCAAGTTTTCTGATTAGCTTCATATTCCCTATGAATAAAAATCTTGATCGGTGGATTTTCATGTTCTGTGGTAATATGAAATATAGAACATGTAGATGTTGGATTTTTGCCTTTTGTGCCAGGTATTTTTTTGGAGTTCTCTCAACTCCATCAGCATACTATAGTTTGCAGTGAGATTGGGTGATATTCCTTAGCTTTTAGCTTTAATTAACCCATTTTAGGCTTACTGTAGTTCCTCCCTCGCATGCATGTGGAATTGGTTTTTTGGCCAGCATGTATATATGTTGTGTGTGATTTTTCTGACTCACAATCTTTTTTGCAGTTTCCTACATATATAATCACTTTTCCAGTGTAAATCAATTTAAAACATATTCCATAGGAGAGCAGGAAAGAATTTAAAGTAAATTAGTGGATCATGAGTTCTCCAACTGTAAGAAGAAAGCTCTGTATCTGAGAGAATGAATATAACATCAACTCAAGATAATGAATTTAGGAATAATTGTTTATTTTGTCAGACAAGTCAGCCAACTTTATGTGTCCGTTAATGTGCTAGAACGATATTTTTAGTGATTAGTATTTATTAGAACACAAACAAAGAAGGGAAAGAAAGGGGAAACAATTTGCTTTCACCCTACGGAGATGAATTGAACCATAATTGTTTTTTAATGTTTGCTATGATAAAAGACTGTTGCCAAACTCTGTAAGAAATTCTCTTTTTTTAAATCCTGAAAGTTCTCTCATGAAAATTGGTGAATGAATTACATATTATTTTGATCGGTTAATCAGTCCACATCATAAACTAATGGAATAACCCAGTAGCACACACTAACAACCTTTTTTCTTCCTTGTACCATTGCATTTGAGACAGTGACGTTACAATTTCCGTACAAAATTATTTCTAAGAGTATTTTCGATGCCCAACATGTTCTACATGTTACCACGACTGAAATTGTTTTTTGGCTTTGTAGAATTGTTGACGTTTCTCTTACGTTCAATACAACCAACATACTTGTAGAAGAAGTTCAGCACTGTAAAGGTAACCAACTATCTTATTTTCGTATATTTGTACACGTTGGGTCATATTAACACGTTCGCTGCTGCTCATCCTCACTGTACTGCTAATGGTTGCTGTTGTCAACCATTTTCTTTTGTACAATTATTTTGTTTGTTTTTTGTTTGTAAACTGATTTATGTGCGTAACAAAAACTTTGGCATGGCATATTCGCTCTTTAATTTTTGGTGTCGTGTCACTGTCACGACCCAAATTAACCCTCCGTAAGGTGTCGTGATGACACCTAGTCTTTACGAATAGGTAAGCCTAATATTACGAAAAAGATAAAGAAAAAACAACATTTTTAAAGATCAACAGCAAATACAAAATAATTTTTCAAGACTCGAAATATCACTAAGTCACAAGTTGCTATAATCTATGTAGCTCTATATAAAAGTCTGAAGATAATAAAGAAAGTCTCCAGGCGAGGGAGTAGAAGGGGGCTCCGAAGATTTGCGGACGCAAGCATTAGTACCTTGAAGTCTCCTAATATCAGCAGCACGCACTAACCCCGAGGCTGGTAGCTCGCACCTGGATCTGCACACGAAAACATGTGCAGGGAGGGGCATGAGTACACCACAATGATACCCAGTAAGTGCCAAGCCTAACCTCGGCCGAGTAGTGACGAGGTCAGGTCAAGGCCCTACAGGAGTAAATATAATAAATTAAATCGTAGAAGATATAAGTAAAATTTACGGTAACACAGTTAAAGAAATTCTCGAAAATTTAACAGTTAAGGGAGCCCTCGGCTCAGAACAAGGTAAACACAGTGGGAAATTTCTCGGGATACCGTTCCGTAGTTCCAAATGAATATGCAGTACAGGGGGATCTCCCGGAATACGTCCGTAGTCCCAAAGTAAATATGCAGTGCTGGGGGATCTCCCGGAATATGTCCGTAGTCCCAAAGTAAATATGGAGTGCTAAGGGATCTCCCGGAATACGTCCGTAGTCCCAAAATAAATATGCAAGACAAGGGGATCTCCCGGAATAGGTTCGTAGTCCCAATTTAAATATGCAACGCAAGATAAAATGACAGGTATGACATCGAGTTATATAGTTTATACTGAACACAGATAAGGAAAGTAGAGACTTAACTAAGCATGGCGCACAGAATGTCAAATAGGCAGTTAAAACACGTAAGCATGCTCCTTTAATCTAAGCTAAACAATTAAACGTATTAGTGCAATTTAATAAGGGAAAACAGTTTATGATTTAGAAAGGAAAAACGAAATTTTTGCAATAATAGCCCATGTACGTACTCGTCACCTCACGTACACGGCGCCCACACATCAATTAATATCAAACATCTTAAGGGAAAAGTCCTCGACACAAGGTTAGGCAAGCCACTTACCTCGAACCGCTCAAATCAATTCGATATCATGTTTTTGCTACAAGTATCCGACTCCAAATGGTCCGAATCTATTCAAATTAATTGCATAATGTAAATATAACTACAAGTAACTAATTTAGCTAATTAATTCGAAACTAAAGCGTGAAATTAGGAAAAACGCCGAAAAAGTCTCCCTGGGCCCACGTCTCGGAATCGGGTAAAAATTACAAATTATGAACACCCATTCACTCACGAGTTCACTCGAAAAAATTCATCTAAATCCGATGTCAAATTCCCATTCAAATCTCAGATTTTCAATTGGGGAACCTTTTCCCCCATTTCCAAACTTCTACCCTCAATTTCCTTAATTAGACGAGGAAAACAACAATAGATTAATATATTATGATCAAAATAGAGTTAGAATTAGTTACCCAATAGTTCTCCTTCAAAATCCCTCGAGAAATCGCCTCACCGAGCTCTAAATCGAATTAGTGAAAAAATGAGGGATGAACCCTCGAAGCTGCCTCTTCAACCCAGCGATCTCCGCACCTGCGCTCATGGGGCCGCATCTGCGGTCACGCACCTGCAGAAAAATCATCGCAGGTGTGAAGGTCACTTATCCGGGATGGGGCCACATCTGCGGGCAAATTTTTCGCACTTGCGGTCCAAATCGGCGCATCTGCGCATTTCACTAAGGCATCCAGGCTTCGCACCTGCGCCCACGCTTCGCACCCGCGGGCTCGCAGGTGCGGTCAAACTTGCGCACATGTGCTCCATCACCAGCCCCACCAGTTCCGCATCTGCGCACTCCCTCCGCACCTACGTCTCTCGCACTTGCGGCCTCCCTTCCGCAGGTGCGAAACACCAGAACCAGCAAAGGCATCAAATTTTTCTTAAGTCCAAATTCATTCCGTTAAGCATCCGAAACACACCCGATGCCCCCGGGACCTCAACCAAACGTACCAACCAATCCTAAAACACCGTACGAACTTTGTCGAGCCTTCAAACCACATCGAACAACACCAAAATCATGAATTAAGCACGGATTCAAGCCTAAGAATTTAAAATTTTTCAAATTTTACTAACGACGCCGAACCACATCAAATCTAGTCCGAATGACCTCAAATTTTACATACAGATCACAAATGACACTACGAACCTAGTCCACTTTCGGAATTCCATTCCGAGCTCGATATCAAAATTTTCACTATCGGCCGAAATCGCCGAAAAACTAACTTTCGCCAATTCAAGCCTAAATCTATTACAGACCTCCAAAACATATTCCGGACGTGCTCCTAACCCCAAAATCACTCAACGGAGCTAACGAAGTCGACGGAATTCCATTCCGGATCCGTCTTCACACAGTTCCGACTACGGTCCAAACTTTAAGGCTTAAACTCACAGCTAGGGACTAAGTGTTCCAAAACTCTCTGAATTCCATAACCAATCACTCCGGCAAGTCCCAAAAGCAGAAATAAATATGGGGAAAGCAGATATTAGGGGATCGGGGCTCTAATTCTCAAAACGACCGGCCGGGTCGTTACATCCTCCCCTCTTAAAACAATCGTTCGTCCTCGAACGGGTATAAAGACATACCTGAAACTGTGAAAAGATGAGGGTACTGGCTGCGCATATCCTGCTCGGTCTCCCAAGTCGCCTCCTCGACCGGCTGACCCCTCCACTGGACCTTTACTGAAGCAATATTCTTTGACCTGAGCTTTCTGATCTGCCTGTCCAAAATGGCTACTGGCTCCTCAATATAAGATAGATCTTTGTCCAACTGGACTGAGCTAAAATTCAATACATGAGTCAGATCACCGTGATACTTCTGGAGCATAGACACGTGGAATACCGGGTGAACTCCTGCTAGGCTGGGAGGCAAGGCAAGCTCATAAGCAACCTCCCCAACTCGCCGCAATATCTCAAAAGGACCAATGAACCTTGGGCTCAACTTGCCCTTCTTCCCGAACCTCATGACGCCCTTCATAGGCGATACCCGAAGCAAGACCCGCTCACCAACCATAAATGCCAAATCACGAACCTTACGGTCTGCATAACTCTTCTGCCTGGACTGGGCTGTGCGAAGTCTCTCCTGAATCACCTTCACCTTATCCAGGGCATCCTGGACCAAATCTGTACCCAACAATCGGGCCTCGCCCGGCTCAAACCATCCCACTGGGGACCGGCACCGCCTACCATACAAAGCCTCATACGGTGCCATCTGAATGCTGGACTGGTAACTGTTGTTGTAAGCGAACTCTGCAAGTGGCAAGTATTGGTCCCATGACCCTCCGAACTCCATCACATAGGCACAGAGCATATCCTCAAGAATCTGAATCGTGCGCTCGGATTGCCCGTCCGTCTGAGGGTGAAAGGTTGTGCTCAACTCCACTCTAATACCCAACTCATGCTGTACGGCTCTCCAAAACCGTGATGTGAACTGTGTACCTCTGTATGAAATGATGGATATTGGAATACCATGAAGGCGGACAATCTCTCTCATATAAATCTCAGCCAACCTCTCAGAAGAATAAGTGGTCAACACTGGAATAAAATGAGCTGACTTGGTCAGCTGATCCACGATCACCCAAATAACATCGAACTTTCTCAAAGTCCGTGGAAGTCCAACTACAAAGTCCATGGTGATTCGCTCCCACTTCCACTCTGGGATCTCTAACCTCTGAAGTAATCCACCCGGCCTCTGGTGCTCATATTTGACCTGTTGACAGTTGAGACACTTGGCCACAAACCCAACTATATCCTTCTTCATCCTCCTCCACCAGTAGTGTTGTCTCAAATCTTGGTACATCTTCGCGGCACCTGGATAAATGGAGTACCGCGAGCTGTGGGCCTCCTCGAGAATCAACTCCCGAAGCCCATCTACATTGGGCACATAGATCCGGCCCTGCATCCTCATCACACCGTCATCACAAATAGTCACATCTCTGGCATCACCTCGCCGAACCCTGTCCTGAAGAACTAGAAGATGAGGATCGTCATACTGGCGCTCCCTGATATGGTCATAAAGAGAAGACCGAGCAACCACAAAGCTAATACCCGGCTAGGCTCTGATACTAACTGTCACGACCCAAATTAACCCTCCGTAAGGTGTCGTGATGGCACCTAGTCTTTACGACTAGGTAAGTCTAATATTACGAAAAAGATAAAGAAAACACAACATTTTTAAATATCAACAGCAAATACAAAATAATTTCCCAAGACCCGGAATATCACTAAGTCACAAGCTGCTATAATCTATGTAGCTCTATACAAAAGTTTGAAAATAATAAAGAAAGTCTCTAGGCGAGGGAGTAGAAGGGGACTCCGAAGATCTGCGGACACAAGCAGTAGTACCTTGAAGTCTCTTAAAATCAGCAGCACGCATTAACCCCGAGGCTGATAGCTCACACCTGGATCTGCACACGAAAACATGTGCAGGGAAAGGCATGAGTACACCACAATGGTACCCAGTAAGTGCTAAGCCTAACCTCGGCCGAGTAATGACGAGGTCAGGTCAAGGCCCTACCGGAGTAAATATAATAAATTAAATCGTAGAAGATATAAGTAAAATTTACGGTAACACAGTTAAAGAAATTCTCGAAAATTTAACAGTTAAGGGAGCCCTCGGCTCAGAACAAGGTAAACAAAGTGGGAA